GGATTGTCTTTCAAACGGAGCCGGTGTGGAGCTTGAATGTCCCTCGCCACCCCGGCTGTAAATCACCCCCCATGTGATAAGGTAATTACCTTCTCCTTGAAACTATTCATAGGAAAACCCATAAAGCGCCCGGCTTGTAAACACCACAATAAAGAGGCAGGACAATAAAACCTTGGCCGGGGTGGGGAAGGTGACGCCTCACAGCAGCCCCCAGCACCCTGCATTTGCTCAGGACAGAGCCTGTGTCCAGCCCTGCTGCTCTCCCTGGTGGCACTGGGTACACACAGCCCACACGGCTCCACCAGGCACCAAAAACGAGCATCTAGCACTAAAGGGACACATAAAACCATCACTGACCTTGGTACCAGGCAGGAGCACCCAGCTCAGCTCCAGCACCCTCAGGACTGTGCCCAGGTGCAACCCCCAGCAGCAGAAAGAGCCCGTGGGGCTGGGGCCAGGCACAGCTGACCCCCGTGACTGAGCTGGGTTCCCACCCAGGGGCTTTTTGGTTGTTGCCCAGAGAAATTAGGCCTGAATCTCAACAGCTGCCCCCTCCACCCTCCTGTAACCTCAGGGTCAAGTGGACACCTGGGGGGCTCAGAGTCTGTGAGCATCCCTGGGGGAAGCAGCTACAGAAGAGAGCAGCCACGAGTGTGAAGAGCCAGCACAAGCCAGCCCATAACTGGTTCAGGTCCTTTACAGACAGTCAATCTGGCATCCACACATGGCCTTATTCTTGTCTGGTCTTGAGGAAAAGGCAGGAGCCAGATCTCGAGGAAGGACTCAGGAGATCAGAAGGTGCTGAGCCCCTTCTGCATTAGCATCTGGTAACAAGTTGGGCTCTTTGGTAAACAGAGAGATCACACAGAGAAAACTGCTGATACCACCTTCAGCCAAGGCTGCCTAGAGACTACTTCTGCTCCCAAAGATAAAAGATGCTATCTTTCTGTCTGAGGAAAGCTGCAGGTTCCCCGATGGGGGTCCAAGTGCTGGATGTGCTCATTCTGAGAGCGTGGCACGCCGAGGGGCAGGCACAGCAGGGACACTCCCTTCTGTCCTACCCAGCTGCTCCAGCTCCTGGTGGGCCCCCATGGGCTGCTTAGTGCTGCTCAGAGCACAAAGTCCACGTCTCCTCCAAGGCCTGTAGGTCTTTCAGGAGCCAGGGGAGACTTCACAGAAGTGTTTATGAACACCAAAGAGGTTGGCTACGTGCTATTGGGAATCCCAGCAGCTCCCATCTATTTCTTGAGGTACAGAAAATCAGAGATTTCTCCATCCAGAACACTCTGACATGGGCTGTGGGCTGCTAGAGCAGAGGGCATGGGTACACCCTGTGTCTGCTGCTGACCACATGTTGGATACCAAGTCCCACAGCTGTGTTACCACCACTGTTTCTGCTGGTACAGCGTGTAGGCAGCTCTAGAGATGTCAGCAAATCTGGGAAAGAAATCCAGGCACTGTCATGCTTTCAGTGGTCACAGGACAGATTTCTTCCAGAGGCAGAATTCACCACCTTGTTTCAGATGTGGAAACTCAGAGATGGGTGCAGGTACAACTGCAGCAGCCAAAGAGGGAGAACACAACAAGTGTCAGCTGAAGTGCAAATCTGTAACTGGAAGCAGAGCCACGGGTTCTCCTGAGGCAGGATGGGGCCCAGCGAGGGCAGTGGTGGTGCTGGGCCCAGCAGCGATGCTCAGCTCTGCTGGGCTCTTCCTCAGCTCTGTCCCAGGCAGCTGCTCAGCCTCTCAGCACTGAGAGAAGCTCCTGGCAGGGAACTGGTCCCGAACATCCTGTGGAAGGGGCTCCAGAGGGGTTCTGGGCTCTCACACTGCCTGAGCCCCACAGAAACCAGTGGTGAGGGGGGAAAAACAAAGCAGACAAATTTGGTATCACAAAGAGCTTTTATGACAGCCAGGGCTTGCTCTGAGCTCTGTTCAAACATCCACCCTGAGGTTAGGGCAGCAGGCACTTAACTCTCAGGCTGGGTCATTCCTGGAGGCGTCGATCTGTCCCCAGCAACGGTGGGGAGCTGGGGCTGCCCTGGCTATCTGAGAGCTCCAGCCTCCCCCAGCTCTCTGCACAGCAAGCACACAGCCAGCTGAGAGCAACCAGCATCACCCCGAAGGAAGGGGATGGGGACAGAGCTCCAGGCCCAGGAACAGACCCAGCCGTGGTTCAGAACAACACATTCCAGGGGTAGTGCTGCTGGAAAAGTCAAAATTCTGGCCCACAAGGACCTGTCTGGATTTTCTGGCTTATGCAGCACACTACAATCCACCTGGAAACGAGGGATTTGGGATTTTTGGCAACAGGGAGCTGCAGGCCAGGTGTAAGACACCAGCAACGCAGGCAGGCAAAGTGTGTTTGCTCCAAGCTATTATACAAATATTGGCATATTTGGGTTTATTGCAGGAACACAAGAGTGACAACATTTGCAGTGCTGAGAAAAACAAAATTCTTCCAGCCCCCTCCTCTACAAACATGATTTTGAATACAGCAGCAAGAGTAAAATGCTTCCAGATAAGCTGAGAAGAGGCTGGTTTTATAAAAGGTACAAAGAGAAGGCGTTTGTTTTCCAAGCATAACAGTTAAGTGAACAAACAAAACCAAGTGAGGACACCTTAAGAGTTCACTAAACACAGAAAAAAAAAGTTCCACAGGTCTTTTCATCAGGCGTCACGAATGACTTTAGCAAGTTGGAAATAAATTGTTTAATACCAGCAACAAGAAACTTTTCTTCTGGCTGCCGTGCTCCTCCCCTGCGCCCAGGCAGAGGTGGAAGTTACTGGTCCCTGTTTCCTCCTAAGTCTCTGTTAATTGCGTGGCCCTGGCGTGGTTTGTGAGGACACCTTCCAGATAACCAGACACCCTTACCCTGGCTTTGCCCTCCAGCTGCTTCTCCACCCCACCGAGGTGTTCAATGGCTCCTTTCAACACCCTCTCCCTCTCGCCCACGTCCGTCTCCCTTCCTGCCTCGTTCTCTTCAGCTCCCGATTTCAGGTACTGCAGGATGTAGGGTCTGATGGACTCCCCGTTCTCCCTCAGGGTTTCCCACACAACTGGCAGGTCTGTGCCCTTCGCCAGGCTTAGGAGATGCAGCAGAGTCTGGCAGAGCTGAGTCCTGAGGCTGGCACTGTACTTGAACTCCAGGAAGTCCTCGGTGTCTTCGCTCTTCTGCAAGGCCACCACCAAGGCTCTCCAGATCTGGCCGAACTGCTCCGTGGAGCCGTAGCACTCCCTCCTGCCAGGGATGGACAGGGCCATGGCTGACTTGATCCGTACTTTAAAATTCTTGCAGGACTTCACCACTGAGGAAAGTGCACTATAAGCCTGCGTGGTCCAAGGGGCCTCTCCTAAAAGAAGCACAAAACCCAGAAGAAATCTTTTCGATCGGTCAAAATACACAAAGCTGTAAATGTATCTCCTAAATATTTAATGGGCTTCCATCTGCTGTGTTTATTCTGGTCTAAATGAGAGCATCAGGGGTTATGAAATGAAAAATTCGTTTAAAAACAGTGAATCTTCTGAGGTTTTCTAGGAGGACAAGTGGACATTTTGCATCTATTCACAGCTACAATCCCACCCTCACGCCGTTTTCTGACACGACAGGTCCAGCTGGATGCAGCACAGTGGAGCCTGTAGGAGCATTCCCAGGAGCTCAGCCCGTTTCACTGGCAAGCCTCCTGCAAAAGCTCTGGCAGCTGGATCGAGCTCAGTTTGCTTTCTTCCCTCTTCCCCAACACATTCTAACAGACTTCTTATCAAAACCACAACCCGCTGTGCAAATCCAAAGCCAGTGGGACGAGTCACTCACCGAGTGGCAAGGCAGGGTTCTTAAACACATTCCCCAGAGCATAGCAAGCATTCCAGCGCACCTTCATGGTGGCCTCGCTCTGGACAGTGGCAATGAGGGCCTGGAGAGACTCCTGGATGGCCTCCCTAAACCTGGGGTTTGCTATGTGACAGGGCTGAAGGAAGTGAAGCACGTTCCCAAGGGCCCGCACCGCGTTACTCTTCACCTGGAACACAAACATACAAACAAACCACTCTGGCTTTCAGCTTATAAGCAAAGCTTTGCTCAAGCCTGCTATGAAATCATGCTCAGAGCCAACAAGGAGCCCATCTGGATCAGAATGGTGGCTTATCAGATGGTGACTTCCTAAATGCCATCAGAAAGGTCATTCTCTGCAAATCCTCACCCCCAAAATAAATGAAACACCTGAAGAAAAAACCCCAAACAACCCCTGGCACTGTGGAAAAGTGCAAACAACATGGGGAACCTCCCAACAGCAGCCCTCAAGAGGATGCTGAGCCACAGCTCCCCATCCACCGAGGCAAAACACCCCAAAGCCATCAGGGCCTTTTTCCACTATTTGTATTTTTCAATAAAAATGCAAGAGTTGACCACGACAGCTCCACCCTCCTTCCCCTCAGTCATACCTTGTCTCTGTCCTTGGATGCTTCAGTTGCAGACCGTAACATTTTCAACAGCAGGAGATCAGAGAGCTCCTCCTGGAAGCTTAGTCCCATCGTTTTCCTAGCAGGAGAGTGGCAGCATGAACAGCTGGCTCAGGAGGTGCATCCCCAGAGACAGGACAGAACCCTTCCTACACAGGAACAACCTTCACTCTTGAGAGGCTAATATGTAAGGCAGAACTTACTACATGTGACCTCTATGTTTATTAATTTAAAACCAAACTATCAATGCAAGAAAGGCAGTTAGCAATGCATTAAGTCTGTAATAAAAAACAGAGGGCAATGAATTGCTCAGAGGCAATTCTGTAGCAGGAATATAGGATCACTCTTTCTCCTGTTAAAAATGTAACGGCAGGTTAGGCTTCCTTCAGTCCTTGGCTTGGGGAAGTGTTAAATATTTATTCATTTCACTTCTGGGTTATGTTGAAAGCAAAGTAAGCAAGGAACATGCAATTACACAAAGAGACGTCCAAGAAGGAGAAAACTGGATTGTAAACTTGGAATATAAACCAGAACTACTAATTAGAAAAACGTCAACCCAAGGAGTTTAGTAGAACTCAACCCCCAGAGATACTGATACTTATAATGCAGCATCATACACTGAGAGGCACACTGGCTAAAGAGAAGCATCCAAGGCAAATTTTGGCTTTTTCTGATACTAAATGGATGGGTACCCTGTGTGACCCACAGGGCTAGGGGCAGAGAGGGGAGTGGCACAGGCCAGGGCACACACACACGTACATGTTGATGATGAGGGTGTCTGTAAGGTTGCCCAGGGACCAGGCTGCTTTGGCACGGACGTTTGGAGACTTGTCATGGAGGGAGTTCAGAATGGCGTTGGCTGTGTCTGCCACAAACATCACATCCTGTGAAAAGTAAAGGCTGATGCAAAGTTAGAGTGTTTTAAAAAACTCAGTGCCCTCAGTAACAAACATCCCAGCCTTCCCAGGGAAATGGCACCTGCACAGACACCAGCTCTATTCATATACTCTTCATTTTTAGGCAACAACTCAACACATTTACAGCGCTCTCTGTACAGCTTTGATCTTCAATTAACAGTCAAAGTCTGCATGCTGACCAAGTTCACCACTCTCCTGGGCAGCTCTTGCTGAAAGGTTGCAACATGTTATTTAACTTCATTGGCCCTTTAGTTGCTTTGGATTTTAACATCATAATTACCTGGACTGCACATCAAATCCCACTTAAGAAACTAATTGCTTTTCCAAACTCCCTGTTGAGCTGCCTGTTTAGTCTTCCTTTCCATGGCACATGACATTTCATTTTCATTGCCTTGCCTATGGTAAGGGATTTTCTTTCAAAATTATTTTGGAATCAAATCTCCACGACAGCTACCACATAATTTTATTACAATCACTCCTTTAAGGCCACGCTGCAAAAACATGAGTCTTCCAGCTCAGCCAGCCTAAGCTCAATTCTGTTGATCAGTTTTGTTCATGCCAAAAGAACTCATTTCCCACATCTCATAGTTCATCACAACCATTAAGAAATGGCTCAAAATAAGGAAGAGAGGCCAGTGCTGACCTGTCGGAGGCAAGGGAAGAGGATGTAGACGCCGAGCGCGCGTGCGGCAGCGGCTTTCACCAGCGGGTTCTCGCTGTGGTTCAGGCCAAGCAGCAGAGTCACACACAGTATCTGCTGGTCATCCTGCAACAATAAGTGGTTGTGGCAACAGAGAGAGGAACTGAGAAGTCCTCTGGCCCACAAAGACAGCTGACAAACACTCTGCCAGACCCCACCGTGTGGCATCTACAGACGCGACCGTTCCGTGCGTGCGCTTGCCTTTAAATTAAACTGATCAGCATTTCCAGACCCCACCCAGGAGATGGGAATGCTTCCAGCAAACAGGATCTTGTTGCTGCTAAATAAGACCACAAAGGAAGACAAGATATTGATCACCCAAACGCAGAAGGCATGGCCCAGCAGAGCTACACCAGCCTGGATCTGCTGCTCCTTCCTCTCCTGCTTCACTCCTTCCCCTTCATTAACGAGGACAGCCAGGCAGATCAGATTCACCTCAGACAGATTGTCAGTTTACCAACCCATGACAAAGATCTTTGCATCATCAGAGCAAAGGGTCAGAGTGGGCACCAGCTTGACTCCACACAGCCACAGGGGCAAGAGCGTGCAGGGGATCAAAGTCCAGGGTGATGAAGTACAGGCTGTACTCGGAGAAACCCGACGGAGAATTCCAGAGATACTGCTGCACCAGCAATCCTTGGGCAAATGAGACCTGGCAGAGTCCTCCCCATCCAGAAGGGCACAGTGACACAGAAGGTGCTGCACAATGCAGTGGGGACACACTGCCAAGGCTTTCATGTCTAAAAGCATATTTCATATTGCAAAAGGAGAGTGAGGCCAACTCATTTGTTTGCTTCTGCCAAGGGCAATCATCACAGCTTAGTGTTTTAAAAGCCAGCCAAAGAAAAAAAGATGCAGGCAAATTGGTGAACAAAGTCAGTCCATGGCTGGTAACTCAGCTGTCTCCTGGAAGACTTAACCAGCAAAATAACAGCCCTTCACCCCTCCCTCATGCAATGAAATTCTTGCTCTCCACCTCCCATGCACCATCACCAAGGCTGACTATTCATGGCAGGGCCAAACAGCTTCTGTGACCCACAGTTTAATTGTTTTGAGAGACTAATTACTCCTAACCTTGCCTTTTCCAGTCTTCAACAGTCACCACTTGTTCAGAACATTAAAAACAAAAATCTGGAAGGTTTCTCTACACATTCCTTCTAAGTTTTAAAAGACTTTACCTGACTGCAATCTGGTGGACAAGAACAAAGCCTCAGCAGGCTGAGGTGCCACGCTCAGGGGAGAGCTCTCATACCTGCAGGCTGCCAAATGCTTCTGGCAGGATAGAGGACAGGGCATCACAGGCACTGGTCTGAAGAGTCGCGTGTGGAGAGCTCTGAAGAGTGCCAGGCAAAGGGCCATTTAACATCATAGTCCAGAAAGTGACCACCTACAGAAGAAGCAGCCAGGTTTATCCTCTAAACTCAGCAATGATGCCCAGCTCCTATAATTGATTGTCTTTTCCCCTGATCATCTTTAAAACACACTTACAGCAGGCAGCAGAACCACACGTGAAAGTGATCACAACCGTTTGGAAAGCTAAAATACTTGGCATTCAGGGACATCTTAAAGACATTTTAGTACTGCTGTCAAGTTCACTGAGTTCTGTTTGTTTCCTTCTCAAGGCCCCATACACTCAGGTTTGACTGTGTTAGGTAGAACTGCATTCCCACTCTGGAATCCACACAGCTGGGTACTTTCACTTGCCTGAAAATTCACACTCACATGGACTAAGAGGAACCTGGTACTACTGGCCATGTTTCCTACCTTGTAGGGTTGACCAGCTCAAAACTTAGCATATGCCAAAGAAATTTTTAAACTTGCCTTCTGTTCACAGAAGCAAGACTTAGGCAGGCCTGTGCTACTCCCAGAACACCAGCTCCTCAGCTTCCACAAACTTATTTATCAGACAGCCTCAAACAATTTTTCTGAAGTCACATAGATTATGTTTCTGGCCACTCTCTCTGCACTTGTCAGCAACCAGAACCCATGGGTTGGCTCTTGTAACAATGCAGATTCCCCCAGCTCTAAAAATGTCTGTCCAGGATTTATGCAGCAGTAATGACACGTGCAGAATCTGTGCTCTTCTTCCAGCTTTCTGACTTACAGCAGGCAGGAAGAGGAGGGGTGAGGAAGGGCAGAGAGGCAGTGTTAATGTCCTGTAAAAGGGGGAAAAAAAACCCCAAAACACACTCCTGCCTACAAACAAAAACAAATGCCAAAATAAAGCAGGAAGTCTACAAAAACTGTACACATCAGCACCTATAAAGCTGCAAGGCACTGAATCCCTTTCTGCTCTCCTGCCATTGATTTATCTGTATCCATGCCAGTCACTCTGCAGAGAGTTCAAGAAGGGAAGCTCAGCTAAGTGGAATCTCTGAGGGACCCACAAACTTACCACACTGACAGGAACTCTCTGATCAGGGGCAATGGCTGACTCAGGTTTGTACTGCTGCAGCACTCCTGTGCCCAGCTCCTCCAGAAGCTGCAAGGAAACAAAAAGCAACAAGGTCTTTACCAGGGATGGCTCAAATACCACAGAACTACAGCAACCTTCACCTAGGACTCTACTTACCCAGGGAACAAAACTAAAAGACTCAGTGTTGTTTTGGACTCTATTCTGTCCCTGCTAGGGAAGAAATTAGAGGAAAAGCTTTTCTGGTATGAGATTTCCAGCTAGAACAGCACAATAAATTGCTGTGCAAAGAGGAAATCTCTCTGAGCTTTCCTCTGGGCTCCTGCATCAGCTGATGCTAAATCAGCCTTACAGCCCTTGCATTTTCCAAGCTTCCTGGTGACTCAGCAGAGCAACAAAATTCTGCTAGGAACTCAAGATTGGAAGGAGAAGGTTCATTTCTCAAAGTGTCAGGGTACTGCACTTCTCAAAGAGCTGCAGCAGGCACCAGCTCTTTATGGTGTGCAGCATCACACACACACAGGTGCTCTAAGTGTTCATCACTACTCATCTGCTAACAGAAAAATACTGACTTGGTAAAAAAATGTTGATGTTTTCTCCTGCTCTTACTTTGGCTCCATGAAGCTGAATGGATGGGTCCATTTCTTCCATACATCTGCAAGCCACTTCTCCAAGTTCTAGGAAATAGCTCTGAGCCACAGAGAAATAGCCTTTTACAAGAAGAGCCAACACCTAAACACAAACAAAAGAAATTCCATTTAGTGTTTTTTCCCTTTTATTAAACCAAAATATCCCAATACACACAGAGAATGTTAATCAACTGATCAACACTGGGACCATATACTAAACTCTGATGTAACAGATACACCCTGCAGCACAACTTCTCAAATACTACAGCTAATTAAAAACCTCCCTGTTCCATTATCTTGTTCCAAAAAGGGCCACAAAAGCACTATCAAGTAGCAACACAATGAATTATTCACTGTAAGTGAGGCCTCCTGGAGCTAAAAAACAAAGCAAGAGTCCCTGTAAGAGCAACACTCTCCTGTAACACCACTGCTGTGTTCTGTGGAGCTGGATTGAACAAACATTGTTTTCAGGAAAGCAGTGAAACTGCATGGGATGCATGTTACAAAATCTTGCTATTTTCTGTGGTTATGTGAAGAAAAACAAGGCCCAGTCTCAATCACAGCTACTCCTGTAATCCCACCAGCATCACTCTGTAGTTCCTTGCAGACTGTTCCTTCAACTGCAAGGTTCTTCCCCACTCTTCTCTAGCAAAACTTTAATTCAGATTCAGTGTGGAGTTTGCACAGGGAAGCCTCACAGCCTTCCCCAGCTGCCAGCACACACAACCCAGCAGTATTTTAAAATAACAAAGGTAACAACAATCACAGGCAGACCTGGTGCAGCAGGTTTCCTCTGGGACAGCTACGCTGCGGCCACAGGCACGGAATCAAAACACTCCAGCTCAGAGCTGCTGCACCAGCAAATGCTTCAGCCTAAATCTCCTGGGAAGAGCTCAGAGCGAAGGGAACCCCCACCCGAGGCTCGGTGGGCACAAGGGAATGGGCTGTGGTACCCAGCTGTTCATCTGACAGGCTCACTGCTGCTCCTCACCTGCAGGGACTCCAGTCGAAGGGGACACGGCTCGTAGAGGCTGGAGAAGGAGAAGTTGGCGTCGCTGTCGGAGCAGGAATCCTCTCTGGGCAGGATGGTGATGGAGACACAGAGATGGAGAAGCCAGCAAGGCTCAGAAGATGTGCACCCCCCTGGATTTTCGGGGGGCTCCCCTTCTGAGGGCAGAGCTTTCCTCCACTGAGCAGAACTGCACCGGCGGGGGGTTGCGCTACCACTGTTACTCAGCCCTGAAGAGCTGGGCTGCTGCAAAAGCAGCTGCACCTCTGGTAAAGGTGCTTGGACAGAGACTATTGCCCCTAACAACGTGAGACTGGAAACTCTAACATTAACATCTGCAAGAAATAACCAGGGTGGGGGAAGAAAAAGCCAGCCTGTTAGCACCTCCCTGAGACAGCAGCATCCTTCTTCAGCAGTTTTCAGACATGCCAGATCGTAACATATAATTCAACAGCAATACACATGATCATGTAGTTATGAAGCACAGGAGGAAGGGAAATCCACAACTGTTTTATGACAACCAATGCTGAATTAAGATAGGACAAAGAGGGTCCAGTCAGACAATGCAAACCTTTGTGAGAGATGTATGGCTTTATCTGGTTCCAAACTCTTGTCAGCAGCCCAGGTTTTAAGCGGTTGTATGGGGCATTTGAAACCAAATTTGCAAGGCACTGGAACACACAAAAGAACACACATGGAGTGGTGGTTACAGTGTCAGCTCGGCCTCCTACAGGGCTGTTTGTACATTTGCAGTTTAAGTTGTTTAGACAGATAATTATATGAGGGCAACAGAAAACAAACACCTCAATTATTTCTGTTTGAAAACTGGTTACAAACTTGGCTCCTAAGAACAAGTATTTAACTCCTGTGACCTGGCATAAAGACCAAGCCCACAGAAAGCATTTTTGTCCCAGTTTTAAAGCCAATATAAGTCTTCAGAATCATTTAATAGGTTCATTCAGTTCCAAAAAGACTACAGGAAAGAAACAAAGGAGCAAGAGAATTGTGCTGAAAAGAAACCCCAGGACTCTGTAGGGAGACTCCATCAGTGAAGCCTTGTGAGACAACAGTCTATTCCCCACCACCACCTTCAGGGAGACTCCATCAGTGAAGCTTTGTGAGACAACAACAGTCTATTCCCCACCACCACCTTAGTCCTCAACATCTACAAGAATTTCTGTGCAATCTTTCTTCAGGCCTTAATCTAGAGACCAGTACCACGACCTGGGCAGTACTGTTACCTTGATGATCTGTGTCAGTGTCTGAGAGGAGGACTCTGCCACCAGGGCCAGCAGCAGGCAGCGGTGCAGCTCCCGGACGCTGGAAGCGATAGACACGGAGAAGGGAGTAAAGGCTCTCCTGTGATCACTGGCATCTTCAGCAACAGAGAGAAACTGCTTGGAACCCTCCAGCATGGCTGAGAGAACCTGAAGAGCACAGGCACGGGTCTGCAACGAGAAGACATTTCTGTCACCCACTTTTAACACCTTCTTTGAGCTGATGGAGAATTTTAAAATCTATGAAACCGTCTTTCTCCAGCAAGAGAAAAACTTAACTCCAACTATCTTCTCTCACAACTTTAAGCCATATACAACCAACCCTTTGTTTCCTTAACCAATACATCCTCTTTATTTCTTGCAGCACAATGACCAAGCAACATAGATGCAGCAGCCACAATACCTACTAAAAGCCAGAGAAGACAACTCTTAAGATTAAAATGGGAAAAGTGCAATGTTTTCTCTACTCATCCCTGCCTCACCTTTGGAGAAGGGTCCTTTAAAGCAATAGTCATCAAGGACACTGACTGGGGGCTGCCAATACCAGGGGCATCAGGAACAAACGCTGACCAGTAACCATAAAGAATTCTTTTTTCTATTGATTTTATAGCAGAGAGGAAACAGGCAAGAGCCCCTTGACGAACGTTGGCTTGATAAGATCTTAAACACAAACAAAAAGATTAATGAAATAGCAGCAGTGAAAAGTACTGGACTTAACTTCTTTCATTTATATTAGCAGCTAGATGTGAGAAAAAAAGAAATTTAGATCAGAAACAGGAAGAGAAAGAACAAATTTGCTTTCAGATCAATACAAATTACTGCCTTTCAGTTTTCTTGTATCACCCCATAAATCAAAAGGGAAAGTGATTTTCTCAACAGCTTCGATAAGAACAAAGCACCAGGGTCCTGTGGAAGTGGAAAATTTGTGCCAGACCCACAGGAACAAGAGCTGTGCTTTAACAAGAGCCATGAGCTTCAACTGCTCTGAGCAACTACACTCTGCCAGCACACTGCATCTTCCCAGGAGCAGCAGTCACCTCACTTTGCTCTGTATTCCACCTTCAGCATCCGAATACTCCGACTCACTGCTGCTGATCCTTTTCCAGCCAGTCTGATGTGCAGCCAAGGGATCCTTTCCAGCAGGCACATCGGCAGCATCTGATGCACGAGCCCGAGGAGCTGAAGCAGGACTGCTCTGCACATCCCCCACGTGCAGCCTCAGCATGTCTGCTCCAAGGACTGACTCGCTTCCTGCATCACTCAGATCTTCTCTTCCTTCTTCCCCAAACTCTCCTTTCTTTTGTTTCCCTTTGGACTTTTTTCTTCGGTTCTAAGATGAAAATTTTTTATTAAGAACTTTAAATAATATCTAGAAAGATGCACAAATTTTACAGTTGTAAATCTAAGGGGAAAAGGTCTCCTTTGAAACAAAACTAGTTGCTCATGCAAAATAAAAGCAAAGTTTAAAACAATTAATCATACCAGTTTAATATAATAAATCAGACCCTCTGTATGATAGATACCCTCTGAGATTTAGCTTAACCAAGACTTATCACAGCTATTTAGCATCTTCTGATGAACCAATACTGCAAAAAAGTGCAATTATATGTATGTGCAATATTGTACATGGAGAAACAATCACTGCTTTAGTATCTGAGAGTCTGCAAACTGCTCATTAGCAGCAACAGTAACACCAATGTGGTGATACCATAGTG